GATTTAATTAGGTTATAACTACTGTTTTAACCGTGAGAAATGAGAAATTTGGTGCTTTTATAATTGAAAGATATCTGATTTGGAGTAATTAGGGAACCGTTTAAAGGGATTTGAATGATTTTATATTTAGTTTATAGGCAATAAGCTTAATCTGTTGTTGAGAATAAACATGGAAACTATTTTGTTGCACGAGAAATACTTTTGAGTTGGTCTTCTAAAAGTGGGTCTATAGCAGCACTTTTTACTTAAAAAAGCGTTGCATTTACCTTTAGCAGCGCCACTTTATGCAGCGCTTTTAAGCGCTGCTAAAGGCCAAAAAAAGCGCTGCTAAAGGTCTTTTTTGACATAATGAAACCAACTCTCACAAATCCATCTCCTAGCTAAATCTGAAAATCCGCTTTCAAACCATAACCTTTTTCTTTCTCAAAGCTTCTTCCATGGCACCTTCAAGGAAAGAAAAAGGAAAATCAAAGATGGGTGAAGCAAGCTCTGAACAACACTCTGATGGTAAACCTGTCATCACTGAACTAACTCTCAAGTCAAGAAGATTGACATTCAACATCAGAAACATATCTCTCATGCCGGCAAAATATGGTAACTTAGAATCTTTCCCTGCTCATAGTTTTGACTTCCATGAATCTCCTACCTTTCAAGGAGTAGTTTTTCTGATCTCTGACTCTGGACCAATATACCGAGACTTAGTTAAGGAATTTTTTGCTAACTTCTAAATTTCTACTAGTTATGTTCTCACATCTAAAGTTAAGAACATATAAATTGTGTTGTCATTGGTAAACTTTGGAAAGTGTTTGGGTGTCCCTCATGAAGGTTAACACATTCAGCAAGGGTTTGTTCTAGAATGACCAGGTTACAACAAGGTTGATTACTACTACAATATCTCTCGTCTGACTCAGCAAGATACTTTAAGTAAGAAAAATCATGCTAGATTTCGTTTAATTATGTTTGGAAAAAAACTTGTCAATTAGTGATAGAATGCGTCACTTTATCATTGCCTATATTTTGATGCCCAAACATTCCAACCAGTCTCAAATTGGAGATGTTGAAATGCAACTAATTTTATGCTATCAAGAAGAAAATCAAAGTGAATAGGGCCTATACTATCTTGTTTCACATGTAGCACAAACAAGGGTTAAGTGGTGGATTACCTTATGTTAGGTTGATTACCAAAATTATAGAATTTTGTGAGGTGGACTTGAAAAGGGAACCGAAGAAGAGAATGAATTCAAAAGAGTGTGAATTATACAAAGATTATCCTACCGCCAATGCTCCTCCACCCGCACCCGAAGCTGGCTATACCCCAGAAGAAATCTATAACAAACTTTACTCCGTTGAGTCTTGCATGATTTCTTGATTTAGGGATCTCCATCTAGAAATTGCTTCACTCAAGAACCTTTACCATAGCCAAAATCAACAACAAGGCCAAACTAGTGAGGAGGAGAGTGAGGAAGAAGAGGTTGACATGGATGAAAGTGACTAGGGTTTCTTTGTTTGAGTCTTATACTATTATTGTTCTAGGTTATGTTTAAGTATGTATAAGTTTATGTTTCTATAGTTTGTTTAGAATCAATCCTATGTAATGTCTCTAAGTATGACTTAAGTTTTTTTATTATCGTTTAAGGTATCATGGTTCTGTTTCGTATCCATTGTATGACAATATTAGTATGTTATGTTATGAAATATTATGTGATGTTTTCTATTTGGTTAAATCTATGTTGCATTTACATTATGTCTCTTTGTACTATTTTTGCATATGCTTCTTGCATGTTTGATATATGCTTAGTCTTTTCCCGTCTTTTTTGTTAATGACAAAAAGGGAGAATATAATATGTTGTTTTGTATATATTCTCTAACAATTTGCAACAAGCATACACTGTCAAGATCTTTCATTCAGGGATCAAGGGGGAACATAGATCAATGGGGAGTTTCATTGTTAAAGAAGTAAATTGTATTTAACTTTGAAAGGGTTGTTATTATCAAAAAGGGAGAATCTGAAGACAAGCTTCTACAATTGATTGTTTTAATGGAGACAAACTACAACAATGTGCTTATGTCAAAAAGAATGTATCAAGACTTATGTCAAGAGCAAGTGCAATAAAGTCCAGTTTTCAAGTGTTAAAGATCAAGTTTTAGATACCCTTAATGGATTGATTATGACATTATAAGATACAAGTATACTGTAAGACCTGTAATTTTGAAATAAATAAATATTTTAAAATTATAATATATTAGCACATCGATTATATATTATGATCGAATTTAAATTTAAAATAATTTTTATATAAGTAAATTCAAGTTTTGCTAAAAATATTTTAGATTTTTTTTATTTCATTAACGCTTCACGATAGAAATTTTCTAAAAATCTTGATTTCAGTGTTAATATATGAGCCGCCTTAATTTTTGAAAACAATCTATTTTTGTAAATGAAAATTTAAGGTTAGAATAGCAAAATTATTTAGGATAGAATTGTGAAATAAAAATATTTGTTCCGTCTGAACTAATTTTGAATCTCTCCAATAAACAGTAATTTTATCCACTTAAAATTTTAAAATAGTCTCAGTTCGTAACAGAATTTTATTGATAAAGTTACAAAATTATTTTTGGTAAAATAATAATAGTAATAATAACTTTTATTTTCTCAACCGACTTTTATCTTATATTGCAGTATAAAATAATCAGAAAATTTTTTTTATTCCGAAGAATATATGAAAAGATAAGGATGAATGTTCATTATGAGTAGTAATTATGAGAAGCGACTTGTGATTATTACGAGAGTATCTAGTAGTTGAAGATCGACTTAAATGAAGTAACTAGAAAAAGAAGAGCACACGTAAGCTGCTAGTCTGATTATATATACCCACATGATGTTCACATAAGAAGAACAAGATATTCCAATAAGATAAAACCATAGAAAAGTTCTGCACACACACAAAATCCAGTATTCATCATTTCATCCTTTAGAAGCCACTTCGTAACTTGGGGATATATATATATATATATATATATATATATATATATATATATATATATATATATATATATATATATATATATATATATATATATATATATATATATATATATATATATATATATATATATATATATATATATATATATATAGTAATCAAATATCTCATAAAATTCATTTAATTCTTTTTAGTATTTAAGAAACACATATTCCTTCCCTCAGGTAAACAAGAAAAAGTTTATTAAGATTTATTACATTAAAATTTAAAATCATTTAGTAGGTCTATTTGTTATTAATATGAAATACGCATCAAATTATTATGATTTCATTATGTCTCAGTACTTTAAACATTGTCTTTAAAATTTAATGAATTAAAGTGAATGATGAGATTTTTATCACTGTTCAGGATGAACTTTTAAACCTTGCTAAGTCTCTGTCCAAGATATCCCATGGATATGTCAAACAATTTTATTTGAAAATTGTAAATACAAAGGTTTAGATAACTATTATATTATGAACCTTTGGAATAAAATAAAGTGGTAGTTTTTTATATTACATTGATATGAACTAGTATATATATTATTTATACTAAATAGGAATTAATATAGTTAATTAATATACATCTCTCTCTTTCTTTTCGTTATGTAAAGGAATCAATAAATAAATAATTAATTTTTTTTGTTTATTTTAATATTTTTCAAGTTTATATGAATAATCACTAACATCTCATTAACCTGAAATTACATATTATATTTTTTTTTAAAGTAATTTTTATAGTTTATTTTATTATAACTTTTAAATAGAATTAAAATAAACTAATGAAAAAAATAAGAAGAACTATAATATTAAAATTTCATTACAAAGTTATAAGTTATTTTTAGAACTTTCAGTATAACTTTTGAAAAATAATTATATTTTACCTAAAGTGAGATGTAGTTCTTTTTATCTTAAATTGATTTAAAAATATTTTTTTTATATAGATGACAATCAATAAGTGATAGTTCTTAGTTGGACTCTCATGATATCTTATAGTGCCTCTAGTAAAAAAACAAATAAAAAAACAATATATCATAAGGTTTCTATCTAACTATTTTTTTTATCTACTAGTTATTTAATATATACTTTTGGAAGAGATAATTGTACTGAGATTTTTAGTTCTGTAGAAGCACTACTGTTAGTGTTCACTTTTTAATTATCAAAAACCTAAATAAATAGTTAAATAGAAATAATAAATCAGATGGCTACGAAGTTTACAGTATATTTTATATTAGTTTATATTAGTTTGTTCTAATTTAGTTTTTTTTGAATAAAGGTGCACGACTGATTGACCAACTTCAAATTTTATTTTTTACGACTGTAGTAACCGTAAGAGCATCTATCTATATTTATATATTTCTTTCAATAATAAAATTATTATATATTTATATCTATTCTGTATCTTCTTACATGTTTTATTTTGGAGATGACTAGTTGTATAAATACGTAAATGTTTATATATGTGTTGAAATAATTTTATGCATGAGATAATTATTTCGTATGACATGTTCTGATGTTACACTTGAGTTGAAATGCACATATGAGAATTGTATGCTAATGTATTTCATGGTTATGTGGCTACCAGAGAGGAGTCACGAGGTGCACACTAAAGAGGTGGCGTGGGGTGTGTGTCTGAGATGGAACCACCTTATCCTGACGTGGATCATTGAGTTTGATTGATGGTGTAGATACCCATCACCTTAGTAGCACTAAATCCCGATGCGATACCACGATCCTTTGTAGAGGTATTGATATTTCGGAATCATGTGCGTCGACATATAGACATTGCATTAGGAATGAGTCTTGATTATGCTATATGTATTATTGTTGTAAATGATTATATACATGTGTTAGAATAAGATCTCTAGCCATGTATAATGTATTCTTTGTTTATGCTTGTTACTCTGCTCTTGTATATTTGTTATTTTCCGATTAATGACCCTTATAATAGATGTGTGGGTGAATATGCCAATAGATCATGACGCTTCTAGGACACGATGAGATGCCACTGTCGAAGACGAAGGACTTCACCTTCCCAGATGATTGGACTAAGACATCCTGGGGGTTCGACCCGACCCTGGGACATGTCTCATACATCGGGAACATTTTGGAGACCACCACTATTGCTGGTAGGGATCCAAAGACCACTTACTCTCGCCGAGCCATGACCTCCAGATTCCAGCCTCTTTGATCATCTCTAGCTTCCTCTTAAGGGTGATTGACCGTTTTGGTTTGTTGACCTCTCCTTCAGCCCCACCTAGACCCTCATACGCATCAGTTGTGGGGGCGGACTGCTCTTTCGTGATTTATCTATGCCTCCCATAGACTTAGATATGTCATTAGGACCATACCCGATGTTCACTCGTGACGTCTTCCTCATAGACGAGCTCTCTCTCATTGATTCAGCACGTGTGCCATCATTGGAGCTAGTCGGAAGTGAGGTAGGGGATGACGACATTGAGGATCCCTCCGAGCACGATTATGAAAGAGGATATGATAAGGATGGCTCCGATCAAACCCTATCGAGTGCTTGTAGTGGATTATGCAGAGACGAGATGGGTGGTTATTGTGGTTGTCGTTAGGCTTAGTTTAAGGAGTGAAGTGTGTGGTTGGTAGGAGTATTTTAGTACTAGATGGTGTGCGCCATATAACTTTCACTATGCATGGCTAGAAATTTTCTCCTTGGGGATGTAATACCCTAATTTTTACCCCTAAGATCTCACATGTCATTTGCATCTCATCCCACAAACAAGATCCCAAGCTTTGGTTCTCTTTTGCCTTCCTCTGTAGGTTTATTCTTGAGCGATCAGCGGGCACCCTTGTTTCTTGTTTGTTTGATATTTGTTTATGTTTATGTTTACTAACCATTGATTAAAATCCAAAAAAATATTTGTTTTTCCTTTACTAACTTTTTCAGGAAGAATTTGGAGCAAAGATATCAAATATCAGTCCCTCAGATCGAATGAATTTCATCTGAACAAAGTCGAAGTTGATCTACAACCATTTCAAAATCATCTAATCAAGAGTTTCCCAAGATTTGATTGACTTTTATTCAAGAGACTCCAAGGTTCATGTGTTTATTTCCATGCCTTCTTTGACAAGCAAAAGAATCGAGGCAGAGCCAAGATAGCACATCATAAAGGTCATTTTTCACCATTTTGTCTGTGGTAATCTGTTACCAATATTGGGTAACCGATTACCCTATGCGAATTTTGTGAAAATTAGGCAAATTCAAATTCTACAGCATTTTTGGCACCAAATTCAAATATTGCAACATGAGAATATTCTAGATCACTTCATTTTAAATCTCCTACCTCATTATAATTAATTCCCACCATACACCTTCACTAATCACCACTTGATCATTAATTTCCCTCTAAATTTAAATTCCAAGCCTAATTTTGATTCCAAACCAAATTCCAATCCACCAAATTTTCCAAGCCTAAATCCTATAAATAGAGGCCTGATTTCTCTCATTTGATAAGCTTTTGATAGCCAAAATCACCTTGTCAAACTCTTTCTTGACTCTCAATTTTCTCTAATTACCAAATACACTAAAGTTCTTTCTTCCTTTGAAAGTTAGTAAGTTCATCATTAGAACTTACTAATCTTTGAGCTAAACCTTCATCCATTCACTTTTTCATCATCAATTCTAGTAGATCAAGGCTTTGAAGTGTGGTTTGTGGAGCTAATTTGAAGAATTTCTAGATTTGGAGGGGTAATTTCTTAATCCACCATTGTTGCTCTTGATACATCTTCCACAATATGATCTATTATTGATTCTTGTTGCTTGATCTTTGGATCTTGCAAATTGTGTTCTATTGGTGTTGATTGCTGTTATTTTACTTGAATTTTCGTGCTCAATTGCATCCTTGATCATGAGGTGTTTGAAGAAATGATTGGTCAAGTTTCTGCATCTTTTAAAGCTAATTTGCTGTTGTTTTTGCAGTGGTAATCAGTTACCTTCTTTGAGTAATCGGTTACCTAGTGCTAATTTTGAGTTTTTGGCTCTTTTCTGGGACTATTTTGGTTCTTTCTTCTTCTTCTTCCATTTCATTTTGATTTTTGCCTTGGAAGGCACTTTTAAAAGTCCTTTTCCTCTTTAAATTCATTGGATTTAGGGTGTAGATGAAGTTGGATAAACATTCATTAATTCAAATCTATCTTTAAAGTGAATTGTTCAATTCATTTTAGGTGCTTTGAGTTAATGATTTTTAGTACTTTAATCCACCAAGATGAGTGAATGAACTTAAAGATGGAATGATCTTGAACTTGTAATTCAATTTGACATTCCCTATCTTCTTCTCTTTTTCTTTTGATCGATGATAATCTTCGATATCGTTTGAAGTTATTTCAAGTTCTTGATAAAGATGAGATCGTTACCCATTTTCTTTTCGTGCGACATTGCTTTTGGAGAGTGATCTACATATCACTTCTCTAGCATGCATTAGCACTAACATTGTTATTGATCGGCCTCAGATAGTCGTGGTTTCTATATAAACCCGATTACGATTGCTTAACATAGCGCTAAATTGTCTTGTAATCAGAAAGTGATCATTCGTGGCTCAAACCTATGTTTAAAAGTCCAAGTATGATTGATTATTTGTCTTAAGTCCATCATCTATGAAGCTTATTTTTAAAGGCTTTGATTTTATCAATCATCTAATGAGTCTTCATCAACTTTGGCTTAAGTGCTTGAGTTAACCATCATTGATCATTTGCTCTAACAACTAACAACTAACTCACTAACGATATCATTATTTTGTTTATGTTTCCTTCTTGCTCCCTATCACTCTTTTATCTTTATGCTTCATTATTATCATCTCATATCATATTATTGTTTATACTTTCGTTATTTTTCCTTTGTCCATTGGACACATGTTCATGTTTTCGCTCTTTTCTTTTGTCCACTTGGACCACACTTTGTTCAAAATACTAATAAAGGATTAAACCTCTAAAAAACTTGGTACTCTTAACTTTGTGGTTGTGCTCTTGGATTATTCTTAGACCTTGGACTCCTTGAACTTCTTGGACTATTCTTGGACCCATGAACTTAGAATTAGGACTCTTTCCCTATGCTTGGAGTACTATGGATCTTTGCCTTTATTTGGCTTGCTTATTGGCTTATGCTTCAAGATGGATGAAATTCTTATTTGGCTTGCTATGGAGTGCGCTACAAGTTGGTTAGATCCTTCTTATCTCTAGCTTTTATTTTGCTTTCTAGGGTAGTCACTTCATCTCCTCCCCTTCTTAACTTTTCAAAATCCTCTTCGTATTTTCAAAAACCTTCTTGTTTTAAAACTTCGAGACCGCTTTTACAATAAAACCTTGACTTTTTTCAAGTGACTTTCAAAGTTTGTTTTCTTAATAAATGTCAATCAATGTTAATCATATTTTAACAAATTTCAAAAAGAATTTAAAAAAGATCAACCTCATTCAAACTTTTTTTGTGCCTTTGCGCACTTTTGATTTTAAAACTTTTCATAAAGTTTAGACATGAGTCATTTCCATAGTTGAGATATAATTCTCCTATTCCCCATAGTATTAAGATTTTGACATTTTCCACTTAGATGTTGAGTGATCGACTTATTGATAATCCAAGCAAAATTCTCCATATTTAGGTGATGCAAATGTTGTCTTATACTTGTGGATGACTAGTCGTAGTTTTCTCCTTAAAATGATGTCTTGTCTTTACATTTAAAATCAATCAAAACCAATAAATTTTTGTTATTTGTACCACGAACTATAAGGTTTTGATCCTATATTGCAATTTATGGGTACGTAGGCATGAGGCGATAAGTCTCTTCTAACACAAAAATATAAAAAAAATAATTCTCTTCTCACCTCCCTAATCTCTTTTCAAACAAACCTTTTTTAAACCAAAAAAGTGTAGGTACTTCAAATGGATCCTATAAAGTACTATAGACGTATTGGGTGCTAACACCTTCCCATTGCGTAACCAACCCCCTTACCTAGATCTCTGTTTTTGTTCTTGTTTTAGAACTCTTAGGTTTTGTTCGCTCTTTTTCCTTTCCTATTTTTGGATAAAATAAAAGTGTGATGGATTTTGAGTTAAGTTAATCAATAACTTACACTCACAAATTTCCCCGCTACAGGGGCAGCTTTCCCGTGTGAGTGTTTGTCGGGGACTTTTATTCTGTTGCCTTTTGGATTGTATTATGACCTATCTACAATTCCTATCCTTTTAGGCATGATCGTATGTTTGTATAGTATATTTACGTTAAAAAAAGGTTAAGCTACTCTCTTTTATAAAACATGTTGAGCTCTCAAAACATTGATGACTAGAAATTATTATGGTATCGTTTTTATAAAAAAAAAAAGGACATTATTTTCATACAAAGGAAACCTTTAATCAATTTATTTATGGAATTAGTACCTTTTAAAAATACACTCTCATTGTTAAAAATTGGGGTGTTACATTGTGGTATCTGAGCCTAGGTTAATCTTCTAGAGAATTGTGAGTTTAGTATTCTAAGCTGTTTAAGGAAAGTTTAGCGCTTATAACCGCATTTTTAGGATCGCTAAGTTCTGACATCTACTCACGATTTGGAAGTGAGATATTGGAAGTTCTCTTGAAACATGTGATGAGAATTATAATTGGGTGTTGGTTTTTTAGGAAAGATATGCCTCCAAGACGTGACAATACAAACCATAAGGTGGATCAAATGACCCAAGCTATGGCTAATATGGCAGCTGTTGTTGTAACACCCCAAATTTTAATTAGAATATTTATTTAATTTATTTAAATAAGAATATTCGCATTTCGGTGATTTTCGATGGTTGTTGTGAAATATTGAGAATTATGGAATTTGAGTTATTTATTTAAATAATAGTATATAATATAAATATATTAGTATTATTATTAATTTAAATAAATATAAGTTAACTAAGGGCAAATTGGACAGTTGAGGAGGAGTTAGTGAGGGTGTTATTGAAAAAGCCCAAATTATAGTCCCAAGGTTAGGTTTAACAAAAAGGGAATTATGATGGGATTAGGATTCATTTTGTTAGACCGTGAAAAGAATCGAGGTCAGAGCTCTGAGGAGGAGGTTTGAGGCAAAAGGTTCGAAAGGTTTTCTGAAAGATTTGAGAAGGCTTAGAGTCGGCAATTAAGGTATGTGGAATATTGCCTTCATTGTTTTCAATGTGTAATTTCAATGTATTTAAGGC